CAACGCCAAGTACGAGAGTCTCATCTCGAAGCTTCTTAATGGCGAGCGTCTACCGCAGGAACTCGGCGCACTGGAGTTGATGTGAGTCCTTGAAATGGCTCACGAGGGTTTCTCTTACCGGTGTGTCCAGCATGACTGAAAACGCGAAAGCACCTGAGTACTCTGCGCCCGCCGAGGCTGCGAAGATGACGGTTAACCAACAGCACTTGAAATCCGCATGGGACACCTCAACAATCTCGACAAAAGAGGATTGGACGGAGTGGATGCAACGCTTGTCCGTGGAGTTCATGAAAGAGTCGCCGTCGCATGCTCTGCGTGCTTGCATGACTCTTGTTGACATCCATCCACCGCTGGCGAGGGAGCTATTTAACGCGGCATTCATCTCCTGCTGGAAAGAACTCTATGAGCAATACCAGGTTTGCAATGTTGATTCACGTCCAATGCGTCCGTACTGATTGGACATGCAGGAGGACCTAGTTCGCGCCATCGAATACGCCATAACGTCCGAGATCACACCGTCCGACTTGGTTCACCGTCTGCTCAACCTGTGTGAATTCATGGAGCACGAAGACCAACGGCTACCGATCGAGAACAGCACCTTGGGCGAGTACGCGCTCAAGTACCACGCCTACGCCAAGGCGCTGCACTACAAGGAGCTCGAGTTCTTCTCCGAGTCGTCACCGACCATCATAGAGGCCCTCATCAACATTAACACCAAGTTGCAGCAGCACGACGCCGCGTGGGGCACACTCTCCATTGCGCGCGAACAATACGACGTCAGCAAGCATGAGGAGTGGTACGAGCGGCTCGGGCGTTGGCAAGATGCTCTCGCAGCCTATGACCGCAAGGCGAACGAGGACCCTGACGCACCCGAGCTCGCTGTTGGGCGCATGAAGTGTCTTCACGCTCTCGGCGAATGGGACGCGCTCTCAGCGCAGGTTGAGGAGAACTGGTCGAATGCGAGCCACGAGGATCGCAAGGAGATTGCGCCTATGGCCGCCGCCGCCGCGTGGTCGTTGAACGACTGGGACTCGATGGACAACTACATCGCGACGATGCGTACAGATTCGGCGGACAGGGCGTTCTATCGGGCGATTTTATCCGTGCACCAAAACCAGTTCGCGAAGGCGTGCACGCACATCACCAAAGCGCGGGACTTGTTGGACCCGGAGTTTACGACTTTGGTCGGGGAGAGTTACGGGCGGTCGTACAAGTATGTCTCCTGCTTTTGTTCCAAATGGGGTCTAGAGCTGACGCCGTTTTAGCACCATGGTTCGGACGCAGATGTTGTCGGAATTGGAAGAGATCATCGCCTATAAACAGCATGCTGACCAACCAGAGCGTCAGGCGACGATGAAGAAGACTTGGATGAAACGGTAATGTTTCCTAGGCTCTCTGCTGTGACCGTCCTCTTACATGACGCCATTGGCAGTCTGCAAGGATGCCAACCCGAGGTCGATGTTTGGCAGCGGATTTTGCAGGTCCGAACGCTGGTTCTCAGTCCGGACGATGACCCGATCATGTGGATCAAGTTTGCAAACTTGTGTCGGAAGAACGATCGCATGCTACTTGCCGAGAAGACAATCAACTCTCTGCTTTCACCTGAGAAGGTAAGCAACCTGGTCGTCAGATATTTGGGCTTCTTCTGACACCATATGAACCACGCAGCACTTCAAAGCGCCGCCAAACGTGGTGTACGCCCAGTTGAAATACATGTGGGCTTCAGGCGCTCGAGAGGAAAGCTTGACGTTCCTCCGGAACTTTGCTGCCAGTCTGTCCAGAGATTTGCATCCAGAGACTCCGGAGCGTGGCACACGATCAAATGTATCCAAGCAGAAGCTTCACGAGTTGTCACAGCTCTTGGCCCGATGTTACTTCAAGCAGGGCCAATGGCAGGCAGAGATGGCGGACAACTGGGGAACGGTAGCTTTCTTCCTCTGTCCGTATCCCCATTCCTACTCACTGAATATTCGTAGCGGAACCTCAAAGATATCCTACACTCGTACGGCCTGGCTACCCATTACGACCCGAACTGGTACAAAGCATGGCATACATGGGCGCTCGCGAATTTTGATGTGCTCAGTTGGATGGACTCGCAGTCCGAGCTCAAGAAGGCAGACATATCTGGAGACGCTTTGCTCCATCATATTGTCCCTGCTGTTCAAGGTAAGATGCTGTTCATAGCGTTTGACACTGTACTCATCTGTCGATCAGGCTTCTTCCGTTCTATCTCGTTGCGCAACGAGAATGCCTTGCAGGACACCCTACGGCTCTTGACGCTGTGGTTCAAGTTCGGTATGCATGACGAGGTCAGCCGAGCCATGGCCACTGGATTCGGAACTGTGGAAGTCGACACTTGGCTCGAGGTTGTTCCTCAGGTAAGCTGGTGTCTGTTCTAAATGAAGAACGAACCTGATTTTCTGTAGATCATTGCCCGTATTCAAACCCCGAGTTCGAACATCCGCACGAACATCACGAACCTGTTGACGGACGTGGGGAAGCACCATCCTCAAGCGCTGATCTACCCCCTTACCGTGGCTTCGAAGTCAAATAGTGTCTCTCGAAAGAAAGCCGCCACTGACATCATGGACCGTATGAGGGAGCATAGCCCTGTCATCGTCGAACAGGTTTGTGTCTCACTGTATACCATGCGGCATGTATCAACTAACGCTATACAGGCTTTAATTGTTGGGAACGAGTTGATCCGCGTCGCGATCCTTTGGCATGAACAATGGCACGAAAAGCTTGAGGAGGCATCTCGGTTATACTATACCGAGCACAATCCGGAGGGCATGATCGCCACGCTGGAGCCGCTTCATGATGCACTGGAGAAGGTATGATAGTCTGTCATTTCCATTTGCATATACTCACTGTCAATGAAATCAGGGTCCAACAACTGCTCGCGAGACATCGTTTGCGCAGGCTTTCGGGCGCGAACTGCACGAGGCTCGAGAGGCGACCCGGCGTTATCGCAAGTACGGTGAGGTCAAGGACCTGGACAGTGCTTGGGACATCTACTTCGCTGTAAGTTGCAGCCACGAAATGTCCTACCAAGCCACTAATATTGTCCCGCAGGTCTTCAAGAAGGTAGAGAAGCAGCTGCAGACGTTGACGACGTTGGATCTGCAATATGTGTCACCGGAGCTGCTGAAAGCGCGAAACATGGAGCTTGCAGTTCCCGGTAAGCAGGGTTGCGTCTCTGGTCCCTTTCTGCCAGATCTGACGTTTGTGAATAGGAACTTACCAGAGCGGGAAACCCGTGGTTAAGATCTTGAGCTTCGCACCCAAATTATCGGTCATCTCGTCAAAGCAGAGACCACGTCGATGCTCCCTCAGGGGGAGCGACGGAGTGGACTATCAATACGTCTTGAAAGGTAAGAGCTTGGAACCTAAGACATGGGCTATCCCCTGACTTTTACAATAGGGCACGAGGATCTCCGGCAGGACGAGCGAGTCATGCAGTTCTACGGTCTCGTCAACACGCTTTTGTCTGTGGATACAAACAGCTTCAAGCGGAAGCTCAGAATTCGTGGATATCCAGTCATTCCCCTGGGACCTCACGCTGGCCTCTTGGGATGGGTACACGATAGCGACACCCTTCATGTGCTTGTCCGCGACTACCGCGAGTCTCGTAAAGTGCTCCTCAATATCGAATACCGCCTCATGCTACAGGCAAGTTTACAACTAATTTCATCCTGTTAATCGATACTCATACCCTCGCAGATGGCTCCCGACTACGAAAGTCTCATGTTGCTCCAGAAGATCGAGGTGTTCGAGTACGCACTGGAGAACACCACGGGACAAGATCTCTACCGCGTACTCTGGCTAAAGAGTGTCAACTCGGAACACTGGCTTGAACGTCGTGCAACATACACGCGCTCCCTCGCTGTGAACAGCATGGTCGGACACATCCTCGGTCTGGGCGATCGCCACCCGTCGAACTTGATGTTGGAACGGAAGACAGGCAAGGTCGTGCATATCGATTTCGGCGACTGCTTCGAGGTTGCAATGCACAGAGAAAAGTTCCCAGAGAAGATTCCGTTCCGGCTGACGAGGATGTTGACGCACGCGATGGAGGTAAGGAAATCGTGGTGGCTGCACGGATGTAGGAGCTGATTTCGTCTGTAGGTTAGCGGCATTGAGGGCAGCTTCAGGCATACTTGCGAGATCACCATGGGCGTATTGCGAGACAACAAGGAATCTCTCATGGCCGTGCTGGAGGCGTTTGTGTACGACCCGTTAATCAACTGGCGTCTCATGCCGACAGAGGCTGACAAGCGTCTGGGAGGTGAACATTTTGGGGCTGCTGCTGCTGCTCGCGTAGACCGCTGACTACTGTGCTTAGGAGGAAATGACACCGTCCGTGCAGCAGAACTTGCGCGCGTCACCGCCTATCCTCAAGGGCCTACGCGTAAGCTGAAGGCCGATGAAAATGATATCCTGAACGGCGAGTGTTTCTTCCACTGCAGGTTTGCTTCATACTGATATACTATACTGGTCATCAGAGGCCCAAGAGAACCGTAATGAACGCGCTTTGACGGTATACAACCGTGTCCAAAATAAGCTGACGGGTATGCACTTCCTCTCATACCGCACAGAGCCACAGTTGACACCGCATCAACAGGTCGCGACTTCAATCCTGAGGTGGTCTTGAGCGTTGAGGCTCAAGTCGAGAAACTCATCGCACAGGCGACATCGCTTGAAAATTTGTGCCAGTGTTTCTCAGGATGGTGAGTTTTTTCTTCTCGTGTTACGGCGAATATGAGCTCAACGCTCCCTTAGGTGTGCATTCTGGTGATCCCGATTTCGCATTTGTTTCGTGACTCATCTACTATCTGCTGTCATATGTTTTGTTAGTGACCTATACGTTGCCTCACTGTACCATACTGTACCTACTCCTATTTTTGAATGTCTATGCTGATCACGACTGCATCTCATCTTCGTCGCTGGCTCACTTCGCTCAGGCAATACTGGGAAACTCGCCTGAGACATCTTCTCAAGGCCTGGTGGTCTAGTAGTATGATTCCTTCTCAGGGATTCATCGACATTGGAGGAGGTCCCGGGTTCAATTCCCGGTCGGGCCCAGTTCTAGGCCCGATGGTCTAGTAGCATGATTCCTTCTTTGGGAGATGAACGATTTGGAGGAGGTCCCGGGTTCAATTCCCGGCCAGGCCCGCTTTTATTTCTCAAAATGTTGAACGCCGGACACTGGATTTTTGACCTAATTTTGCCATTTTGTCATTTAAATTTTGAGTCTAAGAGTCTTGGACCAAAATCTGACCAAAATACATGCAACATTGCCGAATGGCAAATGGTGTGGCGGCCTAAGTCTCAGTCTTATACTCTGTATTATAGAGCATCCTCGACGACGGACAGAACACTGCGGTATATGCTGCTGGCTGAAACGGCTGTTCAAAATCGAATCGAACAATGGAGGTAAAACGGTTAAGCCGCGAGACCTTGCTTCATTGAAAGTGTACAGCCACCGACTACAACCCACCGTTGAACTCTCTCCTGCTCGACGTTACCACCTTCCGCGAACCCCTACTTCTTGAAAAGGGCCGTCTCGTTCTCTC